GGCTGGTGTTGTTTACCTACTTGCCTAACTTTGTAAACTCACTTCTCATCTCGCTCCTCCGTCGCCATAGCTGTGTGTCTGTGCCAACATGACTCCATTAAGTCTGGTTTGGTTTCCTCCCTGCTGACACCCCTCGCTGTAACCAGACCTCCACCAGTGCTTATGACACTGTGACTTATTACTTACAGAACCATGTATAATGACATGAGTTTTTGCGTACATAAACTGTCAGATGAAGTTGTAGATAGAAAAGGCGAAATAATACAGAAGAAACAATAAATAAACAAGGAAATAAGATAATGAAATAATTATCTTTTACTGAATGGTGTTAAGTTAATCATCGTGTGGGATATTAATAAATCGATCTATCATTGTTTATAACATAATAAAAGTTTATTCGAAACAATACAAAATCATCATCACCTGTGGCTCTTGTTTCTCTGGAAAAGTAAACATGAAATTGTCCTTAGGAATCTTCAACCTCCAAGACAACACCTGAGTCAGTCGATAACAATACACCTTTGTTTATGTTTTGACCGTCACTATAGAACCAGTCCCTATAATTAAGACTAATTTATGTTAATCACTTCGTTAAATCAACATTATAATGCAGGCAACACGCGCTAATTACCTTACCTGTACTGACTACTTATCCAGGCTGTTCATAAATTATTTAACCCATTTTAAAACTAAATAACCTTAAACAAATTTAGGGACAGAGCACAAGTATAAATTAGTTGCCGGGTTCTATTAGTAAAGTTTTTGAAGACTTAACTTTCTGAAATGGGTCAGATAATTGTGTTTCTGAGTTATGTATCTAATAATAATAATAATAATAATAATAATAATAATAATAATAATAATAATAATAATACTAATACTACTACTAATAATAATAAGAAAAAGAAGATAGCAACATCAATACGTAGTAGCACTATGTCGTTCGCCGTGAAGGTCTGCAGGAAAGGGAAATATTTGCTTAGTCTCCTGTAGAGTCGAGACACGAAGAGTAAGTTTGGGTGCGTTTGTGTTGTAGTGTTCAACAATTTTTTTAAAGTGTCACTTCAAGGAACAGAGTGACAACAAAGACCAGGGGAATTCTTTTGTGTATGACAAAAGTGTAAGACAAATATGATATGAATTCTGAATTGTTCTTACAACAGGGCGGTAAAGGAAGAATAGTTATTTCGTCTATCTATCTATCTGTCTGTCTGTGTGTGTGACTGCGTAAAATAAAAAAACAAACATTATCTCAGATTCATCTCAAAATACGGGAGTGCTGAATTAATTTACTGCAATAAGCATCACGTTGCTCTGTCAGCTTGGCATGGTGCACTGACTCACGCATTAGGCTTGTACTCCACACTGAATATGTACCGCACAAAACTACACAATATGTTTATCGTGGTTTTTGCTTCCCAGGGAAAAAGTTGTTAAAAATGCAGGTATGAGATGTGTTTCCATGTAATTTCCATTCTCGTGCCGAAAGTGGGATGTGAGGTGATCCTAGACCTGTGTTATGCTGCCTCACTGTGGCACTGTAATATATCGTGTCGTTATAATATTGTCATCTGTTACATTATTTACAGTACTTGAATCCCGAGTGACAACACACACTGTCATCTGATCACTTGTAAACAAACTGTTTCTTATTCAACGATGAGATATAATTTTCATATTTTTTAACACATTAATTGTCCACAAACTTGACCACTCGCTAATACTAAGGAGATATATAGTAAATTTTAAATTACATATTATAAAAGTTTGTATAGGTCGTCAGATTTTTATTTTCCTATGTACTATACTGTATATTGCACAGCGTTCAATTTTTTTTACTATATATTGCAGGGTTGCTAGACGATTCCTCATAAAGTCGTTTCCCGTCACCGTAAAATCCAAGCCAAAAACGGAAGGAAATGGAGAATTTTTAAAAACTTATTTAAACTTTATATTTTACGTTTACACGCTTGAAATTAGTGATTTAGGCTGAGCTGTAGTCCATCCAGTAGTAGTAGCGGCGGGGCTATACAGTCTAGCACAAACTCTGAGAGGGACGAGGCAATTAACCTGACGAGTCATTCAGTAAAAAACATCCTATTAGTTACATAAGAACATAAGAGTATTAGGTCAAAAAGAATTTACGGAATTAGTGTAACTTCATCACTTTGATTTTACGAGGACTGGGAAATTGGCCGAAGGTGACCAGACTATATACGGAAGATAGGAAAGTGGCTGCCCTAAGCACAGCATAAAATATGACGCCATCTATTAATTTTTAGAGTAGGTTGGGTATACCTTTACAGAGGCCAGATATTTCCAGATGTGTTTTGTTACTACATACTTCAAGTCAACGGCTGTTATCTTGAATAATAAAATACTGTGTGCGTGTTCAATCTCTGGAAAATGACAGACCCTGACAGAGCCATCAAGGGAATTACCAACAAAACGTAACTATTTGTTCGTTCGTTTGTTGGTTGATTTATCACATGTTGAGAGAGTCTCTTTTTTTATCTCCCTTACCGTATGTCTTTGACTCGGGAATCGCCTTGACGGGTAAACGACCAGCTTCCATTGCAGGTTGTTCAAAGGTTTAACCTATATATTGCAAGCGTTCGAAGGATGTTACACTCACACACACACACACATATATATATATATATATATATATATATATATATATATATATATATATATATATATATATATATATATATATATATATATATATATATATATATATATATATATATATATATATAATACTGAGTGTCGGTCTTATTAGTAGCGGATATCACAGATATTATAGTTTGTTTCCCTCGAACTTTGCAACTAGGGTCAGTCTGTAGGAAGGCAGTTCTTTGGCTGGCTGACGGACGCGGGAAGTAAAAATTACCCAGAGAAACGCTCTGGTCACGGGGCCAGGGGTTTTTATGTCCCAGAACTTGTTTCCGTTACAATATTGTTATTACGACTGCGTATCACAAGCTGATTCTTACTTCCCCAAGGGTGGAAATTATCAGAGATCAGCACAGAAAAGTTATTAATCTTTAAAATTCCAAAATACATAGATTAAATATTAAGGAACTAGAGCGACTTCCCGTGCCCGTTCGGCAGCCATCAACTGCCTAGCTACAGACTGACCCTAGGCCTCAGTTCATTGTTTTTTCTGGGGCTCACAGCGCCCCTCCAAACCCCCCAGTTGGGTGAGCTCACTTTGCTCGCCATATTCCCCCACCCTTTTGATATTCCTGGATCCGCCCCCGTAGGGTTACCAGCCTCTGCACCCGGGACTGAATGCATATTGGAGTCACTACAGCTATACTTAATGTAACAAATCAAGCTTAAGCGCAGTAAAGGTGAAATATATTATGTTGATATACCAGAACAATGTACACACTGACGACACAGCCAGCTAATGCAGCCTACAGTTTGTGTGGTGGATTTTCATGACATTTACATAAAGGTGGCAACTATGCATTATAGCAGGGTGAGGGAGAGTATTAGGGTGAGAGAGTATTAGGGTGAGGGAGTATTAGGGTGAGGGAGATTAGGGTGAGGGAGAGTACTGGGATGAAGGAGAGTACTAGGGTGAGGGAAAGTACTAGGGTGAGAGAGTACAAGGGTGAGAGAGTATTAGGGTGAGAGTATTAGGGAGAGTGGAGATTAGAGTGAGGGAGAGTACTGGGATGAAAGAGAATATTGGGGTGATTTGAAGGAGAGTACTAGGGTGAGGGAGAGTATTAGGGTGAGAGAGTATTAGGGTGATGGAGAGTACTAGGATGAAGGAGAGTACTAGGGTGAAGGAGAGTACTAGGGTGAAGGAGAGTACTAGGGTGAAGGAGAGTACTAGGTATCAAGAAGACAAGGTGTGATAGAGGTTACCAATCTATTATGCCAAAAATTAGCGCCGTACTTATCAAACACTACATCTAACATTATAGGAAGAATAAGCTCCCAAAAAATGATTTGTTCCATACACAAAAGATGGATAATAAAATAAATATCAAATAACTGTATATTATTTAAGTGGTAGTGACCTGCAGGCGAGATAAAGGAGAGGAGGTTGGGGGGAGCTTAACCTGGTATTATGATGCTGACGTGGGTGGTGGGCAGCTTAATCCACGCCACAGAACAATATCACTCCCATAACCTTACTTGGGGTGGGAATCGACCCCGTATCTCAGGGTTTGGTGTTTCAGAGCACTACCAACTCAGCCATGGAATTAAGCGAGATATATATGTGTGTGTGTGTGTGTGTGTGTGTGTGTGTGTGTGTGTGTGTGTGTGTGTGGTGTGTTTTATGGTGCTGAATATATTGTAAGTAAGGGTGTTAATGGTAGTATACGGAAGGTTATTTGTATGACTGTAGGCCTGGCTTGCGAGTGAGGTAACTAACATTAAGCCTCTCTCATGTTAGCACTGTTTACTAATATACGATCGTGAATGTACACACACAGTCTGGTATCACTTTCCAGTCATTTCTCATTATTGTTCTTCGTATCGTACAAACTGCTGGATCAGTTTATGTAGTGGTACTGTACTGTATAGTGTTAAATATTGTAATTACAGTAGTTTACAAATACTGAAATATATATAATGTTTGCGTACAGACAATGGCTGGATATTACTTGACCCAGGACCGTGTTGAAAAATCTATAATACCAGTGATTCTTCAGTTTGTATTATATTTACTCTCCCGGGCTTTATAATGTTCACAAGAGCTAAAGAAAATAAAAATACGCCCTTACTGTATTCAAAAAAATATTTCAGGGGTTAAATTGCGAAAGTAAATAGTGATAAACGTAAAAAGAAAAAAAAAAAAAAAAAAAAGATTTGTAGGGAGGAGGGTGAAGGTCATCAGTGTTCCAGGGGCGTGAAGAGAAAAGAACTACCGAGTGACCAGTAAAGGTAAAGAGACGGGAGGACATTATCACCCGGAGCTGAACCACCAACACTCATTACTGTGATTGTGCTCGTGATGATGAGTGCACCATCAGGCCAGGTGCTGAGGGTGAGTACCAGGGTGATGGAGAGTACCAGGTTGATGGAGAGTACCAGGGTGATGGAGAGTACCAGGGTGATGGAGAGTACCAGGGTGATGGAGAGTACCAGGGTGATGGAGAGTACCAGGGGGTGATGGAGGCTGGAGAGTACCAGGGTGATGGAGAGTACCAGGGTACCCAGGGTGATGGAGAGTACCAGGGTGATGGGGGGTACCAGGGTGATGGAGAGTACCAGGGTGATGGAGAGTACCAGGGTGATGGGGGGTACCAGGGTGATGGAGAGTACCAGGGTGATGGAGAGTACCAGGGTGATGGGGTACCAGGGTGATGGAGAGTACCAGGGTGATGGGGGCACCAGGGTGATGGGGGTACCAGGGTGATGCAGGTTACCAGGGTGATGGAGAGTGGGAGGAGCCAGGGTGATGGAGAGTACCAGGTGATGGGGGGACCAGGGTGATGGAGGGTTACCAGGGTGATGGAGAGTACCAGGGGTGAGGGTGATGGAGAGTACCAGGGTGATGGGAGAGTACCAGGTGATGGAGAGTACCAGGGTGATGGAGAGAGGTGATACCAGTGATGGAGAGATGGAAGTACCAGGGTGATGGAGAGTACCAGGGTGATGGAGAGTACCAGGTGATGGAGACCAGGGTGATGTGATGGAGAGCCAGGGGATGAGAGTACAGGTGATGGAGTACCAGGGTGATGGAGAGTACAGGGTGATGGGAGAGTACCAGGGTGATGGAGAGTACCAGGGTGATGGGGGGAATGATGGGAGAGTACCAGGTTGATGGAGAGTACCAGGTGATGAGGTGATTACCAGGGTGATGGAGAGTACCATGGAGAGTGATGGAGAGTGATGGAGAGTACCAGGATGGAGAGCACCAGGGTGATGGGGAGTACCAGGGTGATGGAGAGAGCCAGGGTGATGAGGGTGATGGAGGTTACAGGGTGATGGACCAGGGTGATGGAGATACCAGGGAGATGGAGAGTACTAGGGTGATGGAAAGTTACGGTGATGGGGGAGGGTGATGGAGAGTACCAGGGTGATGGAAAGTACTACTTGGGTGATGGGGGGGTACCAGGTGATGGAGAGTACTAGGGTGAGGGGTGAGCACCAGGGTGATAAAGGGGTGAGAAGCATTACTGGGATGATAAAGGAAAGAGAGGCAGCACCAGGGTGATAAAGGAGAGAGAGGCAGAAAGCGATAAAGGGAGAGGCTGTACCAGGATGATAAAGAGGAGAGAGGCAGTACTGGGATGATAAAGGAAAGAGAGGCAGCACCAGGGTGATAAAGGGAGAGAGGCAGTACCAGGGTGATAAAGGGAGAGAGAGAGACATCACCAGGGCGATAAAGGGAGAGAGAGGCAGTATCAGGGTGATAAAAGAGAGAGGCACAGGGTGATAAAGGGAGAGGCAGTACCAGGTGATAAAGGAGAGAGGCAGCACCAGGGCGATAAGGGGAGAGAGGCAGTACCAGGGTGATAAAGGAGAGAGAGGCAGTACCAGGGTGATAAAGGAGAGAGAGGCAGTACCAGGGTGATAAAGGGAGAGAGAGGCAGCACCAGGGCGATAAAGAGAGAGAGAGCAGAAGGCGATAAAGGGGAGAGAGGCAGAACCAGGGGTGATAAAGGAGAGAGAGGCAGTACCAGGGGTGATAAACGAGAGAGACAGGCAGATCCATGGTGATAAAGGAGAGAGAGAGGCAGTACCAGGGGATAAAGGAGAGAGAGGCACCAGGGCGATAAAGGGAGAGAGAGGCAGTGCGAAGGCGGGAGAGAGGCTGTAGGGTGAAAGGAGAGGCAGCACCAGGGTGATAAAGGGAGAGAGAGGCAGTACAGGGTGATAAAGGAGAGAGAGAGCACCAGGGTGATAAAGGAGAGAGAGGCAGTACCAGGGTGATAAAGGGAGAGAGAGAGGCAGTACCTGGGTGATGAGAGAGGCAGCACTAGGGCGATAAAGGAGAGAGAGAGGCACCAGGGTGATAAAGGGAGAGAGAGGCAGTACCAGGGCGATAAAGAGAGAGAGAGACAGTACCAGGGTGATAAAGGGAGAGAGAGGTACCAGGGATAAAGGAGAGAGAGAGAGAGGCAGCACCAGGGTGATAAAGGAGAGAGAGGCAGCACCAGGGATAATGGAGAGAGAGGCAGTACCAGGGTGATAAAGGAGAGAGAGAGGCAGCAGGGCGATAATGAGAGAGAGGCAGCACCAGGGCGAAAGGAGAGAGAGGCAACACCAGGGAGAGAGAGAGAGGCACCGATAAAGGGGAGAGAGGCAGTACCAGGGTGATAAGGGAGAGAGGGCACAGGGCGATAATGGAGAGAGAGGCAGTACCAGGTGATAAAGGGAGAGAGAGCAGCACCAGATAATGGAGAGAGAGGCAGCACCAGGCGATAAAGGAGAGAGAGAGGCACAGGGCGAAAAGGGGAGAGAGGCAGCACCAGGTGATAAAGGGAGAGAGAGGCAGTACCAGGGTGATAAAGGAGAGAGAGAGCACCAGGGCGATAAAGGGAGAGAGGCAGTACTAGGGTGATAAAGGAGAGAGAGAGGCAGTACCAGGGTGATAAAGGAGAGAGAGGCAGCACCAGGCGATAAAGGAAGGAGAGAGTACCAGTGATAAAGGGAGAGAGAGGCAGTACCAGGGGATAAAGGAGAGAGAGGAGCACCAGAGCGATAAAGGAGAGAGAGAGGAGTGCCAGGGCGATAAAGGAGAGAGAGAGAGGCAGCAGGGTGATAAAGGGAGAGAGCACCAGATGGAGAGAGGCACCAGGGCGATAACAGGAAAGAGAGAGTACCAGGGTAATAAAGGGACAGAGGCAGCCAGGGTGATGATGGAGAGAGAGGCAGCACCAGGGCGATAAAGGGGAGAGAGAGGCAGCAGTACCAGGTGGTAAAGGAGAGAGAGGTACAGGTGATAAAGGAGAGAGACAGCAGCACCAGGCGATAACAGGAAGAGAGAGGCACTACCAGGGTGATAAAGGAGACAGAGAGGCAGTACCAGGGTAAAGGAGAGAGAGAGGCAGCACCAGGGTGATAAAGGGAGAGAGAGGCAGTACCAGGGTGATAAAGGAGAGAGAGAGGCAGCACCAGGGCGATAACGGGAGAGAGAGAGGCAGTAGCAGTGTAATCAAGGTGAGGAAGGAGGCGGAATAAATCTTCGCTTGTCAATATTTACTACCAGAAGACTGATACCATCGTCCACTTGTTCTAACAGGACCTTGAGTAGGGCCGAGGGAGTCGAGCCTTGTGGAGAAGGTATAGAAATGGAGAAATAAAGAGAAGTGAGATATCAGCGAATTGTGGCAGTAAGACGTGGAGATTTTTTTTCATCATGGGATAATCTTCGCTATAGGCAGAGATCAAACCACTCACACGCTCAACTCTGGAATATAAACGATTGAGCCCGCGGTGTTAGCCTCTAGCTCTAGTACCTGGTGTCACATGTAGGCTTAGAAGGGATAAACGTTTGTCCCTCGTTTACTCTGGATGTTTGTAGACCAGCTGAGTTTTACTACACCCCCGTGAGGATGTAGTTACGTTGGTTACACCGGATATCAATCACTCACCGCCTTTCCTCACAACAGGAAATTGTCGAAGGGATAAAGGAGGAGGGAGTGTGGAAGTATTTAATGCCACGCTCCCTACACTAGGTAGCGAGTGGGAGGCGTAAAGAAGCCTCTTGCGAGACATAATCATATATTTTTAACGACCCACAACATGAATAGGGCAAAATTATATATATATATATATATATATATATATATATATATATATATATATATATATATATATATATATATATATATATATATATATATATATATTTCAGGTTGACAACCTTTATCCGAAATTCCAAAACCGAAAGCTCTGAAAACCGGTTTTTTGTGGGTCTTTTTTTTTTTTTTTTAAACAGATCAGCCCACCCCAGCATAGATCACTGACCCACATCAGGGCCTGAGGAGCGAAAATGTAATAGTAATATTAATTATAATAATAATAATTATTTATAGTAAATAAAATTTTAATAAAAATACACCAAAATAAAATAATAATGATAATAATAATAATAATAATAATAATAATAATAATAATAATAATAATAATAATAAAATATAATAAAAAATTAATAATAATAATAATAACAATAATACTGTAATAATAAAATAATAATAAAGAAATACAAGAATGAAAAAGATCAAAGTGAGAAACACGACCTAGACCTATGAATTATTATTATTATTATAATTTTATTCTATTTTCGCCCCACCCCCCCACCCCAGGCCCCAATGTGGGTTAGTGACTTGTGCCTCATGGGCTAAAAAATCTGAAAACCGAAAAATTCAAAACCGAAATGCCTCTGGTCTCAAGGATTTCGGATATATATATATATATATATATATATATATATATATATATATATATATATATATATATTATATATATATATATATATATATATATATATATATATATATATATATATATATATATATATATATATATATATATATATATATATATATATATATATATATATATATATATATATATGTATATTAGGCCAGTGTTGATATATGGAGCAGAGACGTGGGTGTTGAGTAAGAGGGGCGAGGAATTCTTAGAGAAAACTGAGATGAGGATATTGGTAGTGCCACTCAAGTGACAGGTCGAGAAATCAAGATATTAACACAAGAGCAGCAGTAACATCTAATGTATTATTATTAAGATGAGAGGCGAGGGTGAAATGGTTTGGATATGTGGTACCACGACAGGAAGGGGAAGTCGACCAAAAGAGCATGGAGTAAGCCGATCAGGAGTTAAGTGAAGGGCCGGGGATAAGAGAGACCTACACAACATTAGAATGGAAGTGGAGGCGGCCATATAGTCAAGAGCAATGTTGCGGAAACGAGTTTGAGAAAACGACCGCTTAACGTCTGGGAATGACTATAGAGAACATAGAACACGGCACCTTTGTCCAACACCCAATTAATGTCACAACACTCAATATACATTTATAAAATAATATATATATATATATATATATATATATATATATATATATATATATATATATATATATATATATATATATATATATATATATACACACATCCTATCATCACCAATAACCTCAATATATCGTGTCGTGGCATCTCCAACACTAAATAATACAACTTCATCACCATACATTTCACGTTATCCCCAGCAGGTGCGTAACGATCATCTAGTTTCACCTACCAACTTTAAGGTTCGCTACACGTCTCACCGGTGTCCATTACTCTCAGGTACCAATTAAGGTCGGGACAGGTGGATCTGGAGCGTCGTACCTT